TGTGGGAAACGGGTCCAAATGGCTCTTTGGGTGTTTAAGGTTGCAGACCCCTGGTCTAGTGGTTAAGGTGTTGGCCTAGAAATCAGGAAACCATGAATTCTAGTCCCATCTGGCTCGGTGACTTTGGGTTAGTTACTCTCTCTTAGTCCAAACCATATGGACTAAAGCAGGGGTCTGCAACCTTAAACACTCAAAAAGCCATTTGGATCCATTTCCCACAGAAAAGAAAACACTGGGAGCCACAAAACCCTTCCCGTGCCTGACTATTTCTTGAGCGGCCACAAAACTACCATATGTAGTTGAATTAAATGTTCTGTTTTCTTCTGAAACTTTTCTTTTCTTGGATTTATCCATGGTTGGCCTACCGGGGGTTGAAAAGCTCAATAAATCACGTGCTAGTGGATGTCACACATTGGCGATTGTGACACATATTTTGAGAGGGAGCCACAGCAGAGGAGTGAAAGAGCCACATGCAGCTCCAGAGCCGCAGGTTGCTGACCCCTGGACTAAGGGTTGAGGTTGTGCAGAAAATAAAAGGAGGGAGGATTAGGTGCATTCACCACCTTGAGTTATTTATAAACAGGAATAACGGTGCAATAAAAATCAAATCTATATAAATAAAAATGTAAATGTTCGTTTGTTCAAAATCGTAAATCTCCGAAAGTTCTTCACCGATTGCTTTGAAATTTTGACACAACGTTACATTCGAATACACTGTGTTTTTATATACCTATATTATATAGATGTCACACCTGTGACAGGTAAAAACATGCTTTTTTGAAAAACAGCGCCATCTATTAGACATAAAAGCAACACATGATATACTATCTTTTTGGATTTTAACATCGCAGTACTACAATGGCAGGCGCCAGCCGGGTCTTTTCACCGCAGCGCCGCTGCCGCCAAACCCACAAGCAAAATGGCGGGAAATGTCAACCGCCGCCAAGCGTCCTCCCGACTAACTGAGTATGCCGTACCTCGGGCAGGGACCCCGATGCCACCTGTGGTGCGGAGAGCTGCGAAGATGAGGGTGGTTATACTGGCAAGCCGGGAAACCAACTCTTACACCCGTGGCAAACTGGGACGGAGGCAAAGTAGGCGTGACCTGAGCTACAGAGGGACATTATTGGCACTCAGTCAAAAAATATTGTATACCCACAAGACTGGGCCACAGCAACGCGTGGCCGGGTACAGCTAGTAGATAAATAAAAATAAATAACAAGATTTTTGGCTCCCGGTCACCAAACAGAAACTGCATTACATTTGATTGCTATGAACACCCATAGTTTGCATGGACACATGATGACGCTGTGATTTATTTACCCAGCGTGAGAGCCAATGAATAATGCAGAATCAAGGAAAAGGGAAATTTATTAACTGGTCAGAAGCAAAGAGGGTTTCCTCTGCTGGATTTCTTAACAGCAAAACTGAAGAGCTAAAGAAAAGCACTAAGCAAGACTGGCATTCTATTTTTATAACTCAGGTTACAGGTCATTCTGATTACCAGTAATACAAGGATTGGTTACAAGTTTCTTATTATCATAGGACATGTGCTGTATAAGTAATGCTGTTCAGTGTGAATAGCACATGTTATATAAGTCATGCTGTTTAGCTTAGAATAGCGTGTATATACATGTCGTGCTGTTCAGGTGTTTTTAGCATGACATACGCCACCTAGATTCCTGCTTGCCCATCAACCAAAGCTTCTATATACTCTTCTAACTGCATCCTGTTCATCTAGTTATACTTTCTTTGAAGGATCTGCTTTCAGAATTCCGTATCAAGCGTGTAGATCTTGTTCTGATCTAGCTAAGCTGTTGGCAGCTCCCTTTTCTGAGTTTCTATGCAGACAACATGAAAGAAGGCTGGGAAGATCCAAAGGTGCTTTTTTTCAAGAGGCGACTAGACTTTCTTTTTCTTTGAAAATGTTCCTTCCATTCCCCACCATCCGAGTCAGAGCTGAAGAAGCTTCTTGGATGACCTGGACCTGGATGACTGAGAATCTCTATAGACAGATTGCGAACCAGATGGATATGTTGTTTTTTTTAGAAATAGAAATAGAATAACAGAGTTGGAAAGGACCTTGGAGGTCTTCTAGTCCAACCCCCTGTTTAGGCAGGAAACCCTACACCACTTCAGACAAATGGTTATCCAACATCTTCTTAAAAACTTCCAGTGTGGAGCATTTACAACTTCTGGAGGCAAGTTGTTCCACTGATTCATTGTTCTAACTGTCAGGAAATTTCTCCTTAGTTCTAAGTTGCTTCTCTCCTTGATTAGTTTCCACCCATTGCTTCTTGTCCTACCCTCAGATGCTTTGGAGAATAGCTTGACTCCATCTTCTTTGTGGCAGCCTCTGAGATATTGGAACACTGCTATCAGGACTCCCCTAGTCCTTCCTTTCCTTAAACTAGACATACCCAGTTCCTACAACTGTTCTTCATATGTTTTAGCCTCCAGTCCTCTAATCATCTCTGTTGCTCTTCTCTGCACTCTTTCTAGAGTCTCAACATCTTTTTGCATCGTGGTGACCAAAACTGAATGAAATTTTAAATGAAGTGCCTTGGGGGTCTCAGAACCTCATACACTTCAAGAAACAACCGTTTCTAGAAATTGGCTTATGTTTCATCCTTGATGGCGGAGCAGCCTGTCTCTGAAGAAAAGATATTTTGAAGACTAATGAGGCAGATCCTTTGGGACACCTTCCCAAGAGAAACCAGATGTATAAGAGAGATCCTCATGCTATGATCTAGACTCTTGCCCTTTCTTCTTCCCACTGAATACACCCTACACCGTCTGCCTTTGTGTGCATGGAAGGGTGCACTGCAGCCAATGAAATACAGGAAGTGTCAACAGAAGACGAGGGTGAGAATTAACAAGCAATTAGCTAAAGAGAAGAACTTGACCAAATAGGTATTATTTAAATTCTTCCTTGGCTTAAAAGTTGAAAGGTGAACATAGTGGACAATTGTGTAGCCTTCTGCTTGCCACAGATACAAAAAAAATGTTAGATGTGATGTCTATTCCCTTTTTCTTTTTTCCTAATAAGGAGGATCAGGAAACTAAATAACACCAAACAATATTTATTTATTTTAGCATATTTACATAGAGGTCCATGTCACAAACATGTGGCTCTGGGCAGCATGCAACACAACAGTGGAGAAACTCCATCACAATCTAAATTTAAACAATCTTCAAATGTTTTACACACACAAATATGGTTACTCACGAAACAGATTAAGTACTTCAGGAGTACTTAATCTGTTCAGGTCTGGACAGAAACTACTTGTGGTGCAATTTATAAAAGGCTGGAAGGGAAATAAATCACAAGTATATCTACAGTAGATATGGGATTTTTTTTAGTTATCCACCAATTTATAATTACGGTGAGTATTCCTTGAACTTTTCCATAGTGCTAACTTTCTGGAAATAAAGCTGGTTTAGGAAATCCTTTTCTAAATCTTTTGTTGAATTTGACCAAAGAGATGGCTTGATGTTCTATCCGTTGCAACATTTCTCACAGATCTTAAGTGACAGATTCCCTGTTTTTCTATCTCTCCTGGATCAATTAAAAAAAGTGAAAAAAGAAAAGGTCACTATTTTACTATTTCCCCCATACTTGGGGCTAGAAAGGGGGAGAATTCTTGTCAGCTTCACAGGGGATTTTTTTTAAAAAAAAGCTGTTCATTCAGTGCTCCAATGGCCAGTGTAAAAATGAACTTCTTGGGAAAAAAATTACAGTGGAGGACAAGAACCAGGGATCAGAAGGACTAAGTCCTAGGACATTCCCACTAACATACAGTAACTGTTTTCCAGTTGCTGACAAGGGACTAAAGCATATTATGCAAGCCAGATAGCATCAGTTGGGTGGGTGCAAGACAGAAAACCACTTTTGAAACACAAGTGGTGCTGGCATTAGATGATGGTTTGATGTGTATTGAGTGTGATAGCATGCATTCTCATTCTCCAGAAACAATGGGTGGCTCATGTTTTAATCAGATGAAGCTAGAGGAAAGGAAAATAAGGCTTCCACACGTTGAATCGTGGTTGCTAACTGAGTTAATTCTACCCTAGAAGAATTTGGAATATCTTTCTGAAGGTTTCCAGAAGGAAAAATATCCAGAGGGGGAAAAAATGGATCATTGAATGTTACAGATTCAGTAGCATCCATGCAAAGGTCAAAATGAGGACAAGATTGATGAGTTCTTAAAGATCTACCACTTTTCATTTTAAAATTCTGCTAAACCTTTAAAGCTAAAATGAGTACTTTGTGGGTATAATTCCAATTCCAATTCCAATCAGCTACGAACTAGCAGATCAGCAAACTTTAATCCGGATAGGAAAGAATATCTGTAGAACTGTGGGGTCCTTGGTGCTCTCTGCACCTGGTGATTTTCTAGCAAACATTTCATTACCCAAACTAGATAACATCATCCGTGCTCCTGGCAGATGTTACCTAGCTTGTTACCTAATGTCTGCCAGAAAAAACACGAAGCTCAGAGAGCACCAAGGACCCCACAAACTTTAGTCCGTGTGACATTTCTCAGCAAAAAAAACCCTCTTATCTAGAATACAGAGTTATTATATGCCAAACATTATAGACCAGGGGTCAGCAACCTGCGGCTCTGGAGCTGCATGTGGCTCTTTCACTCCTCTGCTGCAGCTCCCTGTCACTCAAAATATGTGTCACAATCGCCAATGTGTGACATCCACTAGCACGTGATTTATTGAGCTTTTCAACCCCCGGTAGGCCAACCATGGATAAATCCAAGAAAAGCAAAGTTTCAGAAGAAAACAGAATGTTTAATTCAACTACATATGCTAGTTTTGTGGTTGCTCAAGGAATAGTCAGGCATGGGAAGGGTTTTATGTCTCCCGGTGTTTTCTTTTCTGTGGGAAATGGGTCCAAATGGCTCTTTGAGTGTTTAAGGTTGCAGACCCCTGTTATAGACCTTGGGTACTCAGGTGTAAATTCTGTTATATGTACTGTATGTTAAAAGATGGCGACAGCAAATAGCACCAAAATCCAGGAATTCGTTTTGGTGGGCTTTGGAGATGGGCAGAAAAAACGCTTACTGCTCCTCATATTTTTCACTACTCTCTACATCCTTACATTGGCTGAGAACATCGTCATTATCACCGTGGTGGTCTTGGACACCATCTTGGCCCGGCTTCCCATGTACATCCTCCTGAGCAACTTCTCCTGGCTAGAAACGTGTTATGTGAGCACAACGGTGCCTCGTATGATCTTGGACCTGACCTCACCAAATGGGACCATCTCCTTCCATGCCTGCTTCCTTCAGTTCTACATCTTCTTTAGTCTTGGTGCCACCGAGTGCTTTTTCCTCTCAACCATGGCCTTGGATCGCTATTTGGCTATCTGCCACCCACTACGCTACTCCTACATCATGTCTCCCCATTCCTGCTATGGCCTGGTGGCTGTCTGTTGGATTCTTGGCTTTCTGTGGAATCTAATCCCAGTGGTTATGATCTCCAAGTTGGACTTCTGTGGTCCCAACATCATTGACCATTTGATATGTGATCCTGGACCCATCCTTTCCTTGGCTTGCTCTCCACTTGGAAATATGCTCCTTCGCTATCAATTTGCAATGAGCTCTCTGGTCATCTTACTCAACCTGTTCTTTGTTGTGTTATCCTACAGTGCTGTGGTTCTCACTTTGGTGAAAGCCACTCATCAAAGTGGCAGTAAGAAGGCCTTCTCCACCATATCCTTCCATCTCGCGGTGGTCACCCTTTTCTACGGTTCCGTAGCAGGGATGTACGTAGCCCCAAGTGCGGAAAACCAGTCAGATATCACAAAAATTGTCACTGTCTTCTACACTGCCATTACACCTTTTCTCAACCCCATGATCTACTGTCTGAGGAATGATCAGATGAAGGAGGCCCTGGGCAGAGTGCAAAGAAGTAAGGTAACTGTACTGAGATTTAACGCAAATAAATCTAGGAAACTATAAAAAAAATAGAACAAATATAACTAATCATCCAATCAGTGAGATAAACAAATATGGTCACAATATAGAAAACAGGAATATCATTTTCTCACGAAGACCTCATCCCCATCTCATTCATCTCTTTGTTCTTTATTTATTTATTTATTTATTTTATTTGTTTAAATTTCTATACCGCCCTTCTCCAAATAGGACTCAGGGCGGTGCACAGCCTAAGTAAAAACAAAGCATACAAAATTTAAAAAACAGTATTAAAATAATTAAATATTCTGGCCGTAAATTAAAACAACCCAATTTAAAATCAATTTAAAATTTAGCTCAAGCCAGCCCAGCTAGTTGAAATAAATAGGTTTTCAGGGCCCAACGAAAAATCCGGAGGTCTGTTATTATACTTAACTCTGGGGGAAGGTTATTCCAGAGGGTGGGCGCCGTCACAGAGAAGGCTCTCCCCCTGGGGGTCGCCAGCCGACATTGTCTGGCGGACGGCACCCTGAGGAGGCCCACTCTGTGCGAGCGTACTGGCCGGTGGGAGGCTATCGGTGGCAGAAGGCGGTCTCGTAAGTACCCCAGCCCTAGTTTAGTATAATTTTTATTAATTTTTGAGAGGCGCAATGGATCAATGGTTAAAGATGATTGACAGCCTGGGTTTGAGACCCAAATGCTGCACTACAGGGTGAGCTCCCGTTCTTGTCCCAACTCCTACCTCCCCCACCCCTAGCAATTTGAAAGCATGCAAATGCAAGTAGATAAATAGGTATCAGTTTGGTGGGAAGATAAAGTGTTCCTTGCACCTTAGTGCATAATTGTGATGACCACATGATCACAGAAATGCCTTCAGACAATGCTGGCTCCCTCAGCTAAGAAACAATGATGGGCACTCCCCTGCGAGAATCCAGACATGACTGCAAAGGGGAAACCTTTATCTTTACCTTTATAATGTGTAGTTTTAATGTTTTAACATTCTAATGATGTATTACTTGTAAGCCATCCAGGGTCACCTTGTAGGAGAGAGTGTGGCATAACAATTTAATAAATAAATGAAATAAATAAATATTCTTGTGAAGTATTTTGCATGGTCTAATGCAATGCAAAATTTTACTGGGAGATTAAAGGTGTATTTCTTTAGGTTTTTAGCCAATCTTCCTTTTTTCAGAACTGATTTCTATTTCATGTTGGTCTATAGCCAAACTATAGAAAGTCTGATAGCCAAGATTCATTAATGCTTTTTTTTTTTTTGGCTTTACCTTGTTGTGTTATGTCAGAAAGAGGGAGAACTGCTGATCAATAATCTATTATACACGCCACTTCTCTCAATCATTCAACTATCACTTTCTCTTCCTGCAAGGAATGGAAAAACCTGAAGATTGTATATGTGCGTTTTAATTAAATTGTTGTGTAGTTCTGAAAATGAATGTATTAAGTCAAAAGCAAAACATACTTAATGTTAAGTATAAAAATACTTTTAGTTAAATGTGTAATATTCAGCTATGGACTTCTCAATTCTATGTTGGTGTTTCAAAATGCTTGCCTCATTTTTTTCCCTATGAATTTATATATAGCTTGATTATCTTGCTGTGGAATAAATAAACTTGTTATTGATGGTGACAATAATATTCCTTTTTCACATTTTCCTTTTGTGCCATTTTTTTTTTTAGCTTGGAATTTTCTGTCTGCTGTCTTTAATGCTTTCAATGACAGGTCCATGCAATGATGGGCTTTAAAAGTTAGGTCACTGCATTAACAATGCATTGATGATGTTACTTAGTTGGGACTCCATAGTTCAACCTTGAACTACAAATATTCTCTTCTATTATCTTCTGTACCTTCCATGACCAAGCATATAATTTGATTTCACGGTTTTTTATACCCCATCATCTTACATCTCATAATATTATTACTTCTGAATTAGATATTGAGGATTATTTTTAAAATGGTGTTTGGGGAGTGGAGGGAGATATGGGTGGTATCTTAGGTTTCTGAATTGAACTTTTCTTGCTATTCATATTGTGGAACTACTTTGTCTTCATCAAAAGAGGAGCTGAGAAATTGGGAAGATTGCAAACAGAAGATGATAGCAATAGCAATAGCACTCGGATTTATATACCATTTCACAACCCTCTCTAGGCGGTTTACAGAGTCAATATATTGCCCCCCAAAAAAAATCTGGGTCCCCATTTTACTAACTTCAGAAGAATGGAAGCCTGAGTCAACCTTGAGCCTGGTGAGATTTGAACTGCCAAATTGCAGGCAGCCAGTAGTCCACAGAAGTAGCTTGCAGTACTGCATTCTAACTACTACACCACCACAGCTCTTCTGATACGAAGGTCTTATACTAAGATCATTCCTTATAATTTTTTTGAAGAGGTTATATTAATGATATATTCTAAAATACCTCAGGCATAAGGCAGTGGTGGGTTTCAAAAATTTTTACTACCGGTTCTGTGGGCGTGGCTTAGCGGGCGTGGCATGGCTTGGTGGGCATGGCTTGGTGGGCGTGGCAGGGGAAGGATACTGTAAAATGTCCATTCCCATCCCAATCCAGGGGAAAGTTACTGCAAAATCCCCATTTCCTCCTGATCAACTGGGACTTGGGAGATAGAGAATAGATGCGTGCAGGGCCAGTCAGAATTTTTACTACCGGTTCTCCGAACTATTCAAAATTCCGCTACTGGTTCTCCAGAACTGGTCAGAACCTGCTGAAACCCACTTCTGGCATAAGGCCAGTAAAGAGATTGCCCAGAACTACCAAAGCCAAGTTTGGTCTAGGCCTGGAGACTAAAATTTATGAAAAATGGTTACAGGATTTGGGTTTGGCTAGTCTAGAGAAAAGAAGGACTAGAGGGGACATGTAGCAGTATTCCAGTATTTTACAGGTTGCCACAAACAGGAGGGGGTAAATGCATTTATCAAAACACCTGAAGGCAGGACAAGAAACAATGGATGGAAACTAATCAAGGAGAGAAGCAACCTGGAATTAAGGAGAAACTCCCTAATAGTGAGGACAATTAACCAGTGGAACAGCTGGCCTTCAGACATTGTGGGTGCTTCATCACTGGAGGTTTTTAAGAAGAGACTTGACAGCCACTTGTCTGAAATGGTATAGGGTCTCCGGCTTGAGCTGGGAGCTGGACTAGAAAATTTCCAAGGCCCCTTCCAGATCTATTCTGATTAAACTAGTGGTTAAGGCACTGGGCTAGAGATCATGAGTTCTAATCCCACCTTAGCCATGAAAACCAGCTGTATGACTTTTGGCCATTCCCTCTCTCTCAGCCTAAATTCACCTCACAGGATTGTTGTGAGGGAAAATAGGAGGAGGAAAGTGTTCTGAATATGGTCACCACTTTGAGTTCTTTGTACAAATAATAAAAGAGGGATATAAATAAATAAACTTGCAGCAAATGTTCAGACATTTTAGGTACAACTAATGAAAAAGGCACATATACATGGATATACATAAGGCAAAACATAAATTGAACTGGATAATTTATATTTATATTTGATTAACTGTATATTTTATAATTTCCCCATTAGCCAGCTATTATTACAGTTCATATACTTTATTTTACACTGAGCATCTCGATTGGGAGCCATTGTTTATAACCATGGTTTATTGTAAAATGGTTTCTTTGTCTATAACATGCTAGCCCATAATCCATGGCCCACGAATCACAGGGGTAACATACACACAATACAATACACCAAAGCAGAGAAAAACACACAATAGTTTAGCACCGAGTAGGAATTTGGTCACAGCATGATACCAAGAGATGATTGCTGATTTTATTTGAGTCATTCTAGAATCCCTCAATCTGAAATAACCATCCAATGGTTGCTTGGCTTCAATCTAATTGATTAATAGCAATATTATTGATGGACATTGTAAAATCTTCTTTCTACCAGATAGCAAACAGATAGAGATGGAGAATGTGAAAATTATGAGGAATAAAAGAAACCGTGGACAAGATACAGTCCTGTTCCAAACAATATAAATGTGTGTGTGTGTGTGTGTGTTCCAGCATAACTCTGGAACGCCTCGAGTAATTTCAACCAAACTTGGTACACAGATGATTTACTCTCTGGAAAAAAAATATTGTGGCGGTAAGACATCCCTAACACCTCTCGGGGTGTGTGTTCTGTTAAGATGTAGCCTGTTGTGCCTTAAAATGGATTCTACTGTACTGTCTTAAAATGGATTCTACTTTACAGCACAGTGGAGTTGCCATGGTAATGGCTTCACAGTACTCCACAAGTGGGCTCCCTCTGGTAAGGGGGAAAATCCAATATTAGAAATTATTGTTTGGTCTGGACATTTTCAACAAGACTTTGATTATTCTTGAGGACAAATATATGGCCATGATCAATAAAACATTACTGCAACTCAGCCTGCCTGCACCACAATGAGACCGACATGACGTACTTCATGCAGCTTACATATGAGTAAAGAACTACAATGTCAAACAGCTTAGTGCATATATTGTAGATAAGAAGCAACTCCTAAATCAAGATCAGAAAAAACCATACCAAATGATCATGGATCAGCTACCAAAACAACAAGATGGTATCATGTTACCTGACACTTCTGGGGGCACAGGGAAAACATTTTAACTAATTTAATTCTTGCTGAAATCAGGGCTCAGGGTGAAGTTGCTTTTCTTGTCTAATACAGAATTGGGATGCATAAATACCCAGGCAACACCGGGTTATCAGCTAGTATCTCAAATAAAATTGACATTTCTGCTCTTCAACCACCATATATTTATATATCCCATATATTATTAAACTAAGAGCATGCTTTAGTCCTTCATTGTTTGCTTATTTTTATACATGAAAATAAATAACACTGATGTAGTTTTAAATTTAAAAGATCGAAGAAAGGGAAAGGCCATGAATTCTTGACCAAGGTCCAGGCCACCCATCCATGAATCACAGTCCCCAGTGATGGGTTGTTACCTGTTCACCCCAGGTCGGGCGAACTGGTAGCAGCAGTGGCAGGAGGCTCCGCCCAC